ATTTTTTAATTTTGCTCCAAAAGAATCTTAGAAAACTTACCAAACCTTATTATAACAAGGACAATTTATTTCAGCCTAACCCAACTAAATATATTTTATATTTGTTTACAACAATTTAATACTAAACAAACTCAGTGAAATATATTTTTTTCGTTAGGTTCAGAATGATTTTGGCGAAATTATTGCATACACAAATTTTCACTTGTCCTGTATGGCAAGATGAGCGTTGCTATTTAAGCCAAGATCGCAAGTTCTGCGTATTCGGCACGACATATATATATACATATATATATATGTCGTGCGAATATGTAAAACTTGTCAATTAGCAAGAACTCATTTAAAATAGAGTCCTTTCTAAAATTTTCTCTTATACGTTTAAAGATATATATTTTTCATTAATGTTTAGTGTAAAATTTTTTTTTTTGCTCCAAAGGAATCTTAGAAAACTTACCTAACCTATTATAACAAGAACAATTTATTTTAACCTAACCCACTAAATATATTTTAGATTTGTTTACAAATAATTTAATACTAAACAAACACAGTGAAATATATTTTTTTCCGTTAGGTTCAGAATGATTTTGGCGAAATATTGCATACACAAATTTTTGCTTGTCCTATATGGCAAGATGAATGTTGCTATTTAAGCAAGTAGGCAAGTTCTGCCTATTCGGCACGCATATATATATACATAATATATATTTATATATATATATCATATATATATATATATATATATATAGATATATATTATATATATATATATTATATATATAATATATATATATATATGTCGTGCCGAATATGTAAAACTGGTCAATTAGCAAGAACTCATTTAAAATTAAGTCCTTTCTAAAAATTTCTCTTATATGGTTAAGATATATTTTTTCATTAATGTTAGTGTAAAAAAATATAATTTTGCACCAAAAGAATCTTAGGAAACTTACCTAACCTTATAACAACAAGCGCAATTTATTTAGCCTAAATCCACTAAATATATTTTAAAACGTTTACAGTAAGTTAATACTAATCAAACACAATGAAATAGATTTTTTTCGTTACGTTCAGAATGATTTGGCGAAATTATTGCATACACAAATTTTCGCCTGTCCTATATGGCAAGATGAGCTCTGCCTATTCGCACGACATATATATATATATATATATATATATATATATATATATATATATATATATATATATATATATATATATATATATATATATATATATATATATATATATATGCAGAACAACTACTGCGAAACAAAAACCTGAAATTCCGAGCACTTTCGTGATTTGTCACATTATCAAGGAACTGTTCCTTGATAATGTGACAAATCAAGAAAGCGCTTAGAATTCCGCAATTTTTCACAGTGGTTGTTCTGCATATTGTGATATCACCTGTTTACTCTGATCCTTTTGCATATATACAGCATTTATGGAAATAAGATTGATTCAAGGAAGAGGAGAGTAGCTCCAAATTCTTGGATTAAGAATTCATTTAAAGCATTTTAACACCCCCACTTGAGGGGAAGAAGCAATTCGGACATTTTCTTCATTATGTCTTGCTAATTCTTGTTTTTATACACTTTCTGCCCATTGTCAAATTGGTTCTGTACTTTCCAGAGCATCAGTACAGTATTCTGTTGTTATATTACCTGGTAACTTGTCAGTTAGGGACACCTGAATAATTTCTGACTATTTCTCAGTGTGTCGGTTCCTCATTTAAAGTAAACAACGGCAAAATGAGTTCTTTCACATCTTGGTTTAGGTAAAACAAGTCATACACAATATTTTTTCAAAGAATATCTTTCTATAATATACCCATACAAATGAGACAAAATGCATGCCAAAAAAATAAATAAAAAATGGGGTGGTACTTTAGTGTGCTGTCTACGGCAGTATTCGTAGTCTACGTTGAGAACTGACTTTTAACGTACGGTCTACCTGTTATATACTTTTTACCTTTAGTGTAAAGTTCCTATAGTGGATGTAGGATGCACATTGAAGTGTAAAATTGCTGGTAAACCGCACGCTAAAGTATAAATGAGCTGGTAGACCGCACGCTAAATTGTAAATGAGCTGGTAGACTGCACGCTAAAGTGTAAATGAGCTGGTAGACCGCACGCTAAAGTGTAAATGAGCTGGTAGACCGCACGCTTAAGTAGCACCAAAAATGGCATTGTTAGAGAGAACACTAAAATATATGACACTCCTGTTTGGCAGAATACAACGATGAAGAAACACGCAAGACACAGAAGGGGTGTGATGGCTGACTATCGCCTGATCATATCGTTGTGGCTGTGTGGTGAATCAGCAATGGATGTTGCGCTCTTGACTGGTTTCGGTGTTTCAACAGTGTATAGGTGGATCAGAAAGTGGAAGGAGAGATCAGTAGAGTGGCTCCATTTAGGACTTCCTATGTACACCATAGTCACTGTTCCTATGCCACAACTACCACCACTACTACCATCACCACTACCACCATCACCAACAACAAGAACGATACTTAGTTCTACTGGCGAACTTCTCTTTAACAGTTATTCCAAATTCAAACACTTACAAAACAATTTTACAGATAATCCCAGACAGTATTGTTACCACTTTTAAGCCCACATTTTGGCTTAAATAGCAATGCTCTTCTTACCGAATAAGGCAAGCGAAAATTTGTGTATGCAATAATTTCGCAATAATCATTCTGAACCTAACGAAAAATATATTTCATTGTGTTTGTTTATTATTACGTTATTGTAAACTTATCTAAAATATATTTAGTTGGATTAGGCTAAATTAAATTACGCTTGTTATAAAAGTTAGGCAAGTTTTCTAAATTCTTTCCGTACAAAATTATTATTTTTTTCATTAACATAAATGAAAAAAAATCTTCAAACGTATAAGAAAATTTTTTAGAAAGGATTTAATTTTCAATGAGTTTTTGCTAATTGGCCAATTTTACCTATTCGGCACGACATATATATATATATTATATATATATATTTATATATAATTAAATATATATATTATATATATATATATATATATATATAATATATATATAAATATATATATATATATTATATTTATATATATATATAATATATATATATATATATATTTATATATTATATATATATATATATATAAAATATATATTTATAAATATATATATATATATATATATAATATATAATATATATATATATATAATATATATAAAATATATTATATATATATATATATAATATATATTATATATTATATATATATATATATAATATATATATTATATATAATATATCAACAATTTATGTCGATTCCCACGAGGCAGGGAATGATCATAAAAAGAAAGAAAATCCCCAAAAAAAGAAAATATTTTCATCTAAATCTATTATACACTTTCAAACACATACTCAAAACATTATCAAATATAATATAATTATATATATATATATATTATATATATATATATGCAATATGATACAGTAAACGGTGATTCATAATATGCAAAAAAAATCCACTCTGAAATGAAATAGAGAAATTCCAAAGCGCTTTCGTGACTACTCAATTATCAAGGAACTATTGAAAGTAAAGAATCAAAAGAATGCTAATATAAGGTTTGGCCAGCACCTCACTATCAATCCCAAAGTTGTTAAACACTGACGCGCCGAACCCAACTTGGGATAGGTCCTTTGCACAACTCACTCCAAAACTATTATACCCACGAAATATTTATAAAATTATTTGTCCAGTGTAATTATTAAATTTTCCAAAATCTATAATTATAAAATGGATCTATAATTATATAAACCAAAGGAAAAATATTCATATCTCTGCTCAAAACTGTTTTTAAAAAAAATTCATCTGTATTTACAAATTCATTATTTGTTAACTATAATCATATCAAAAAAATAATTGTTACAAATTTTTACTCTGAAAATAAAACTAATGAAGAAATAAGCCAATAAGTCTCAATTCTTTCATAACTCATGTGATGACTAAATAAATATAAAATTTTGAGGAAATATTTGTGTGCAAATGTAATGTATATTTTTTATGTTACATGCAAAAATAAAATAAATAAAAAATTTTGCAAAAAAGCACATCCATATGTATAGAAAGCCATGGACAAAGGTTTTCGTAATTATGGATTTTCAAACAGTTCCATGGAAAAACTAATACGGAAATATATACAGGATCACTAACGTAGCGACATATGAATATTTGGATATAAATAACAACAAATCCTGTCGTCCTGCACGACGGTCATTTAAGGCCACACACTTGTTCCCCATTAGGCCTATATTTCAGCTGAACTTTGACATAATGGATTATGTAAACATATATATTACATATAATAATATTTAATTATATTATATATATATATATATATATATAATATATATATAATACTATATTTTTATATTATATATATATATATTACCTGAGACCAGATACGTAATCTGTCACATTATTATACCGACTTCAACAAAACTTCACGACCCCAAACAACTGGAAATTGCTCGTCCAAGGTGGAGGCACAAATGGGCGATTTACGTTTTCATCTCGCCTGCAATACAGAGATATTTGAATGCTTATAATTGCAGAGAAGCAAATATTTACAGCGTTTATCTCAGGACAGATGGTGCAAGCGCTGTATGACCCTTGGAGTTGCGCGCTTAGTTTGATTAAATCCGTAATAATAATCGTGAGAGGAGAGCCCAGTTCAAAACTTCCGGATAGGTATGCAATACTCTAAGCACCAACACGCATACAGCAAAGCAAACTCGTCAGCAAACTGACTTTTTAGGGACGCCACAGTCATGTGTGACCTGGCTCGGTGTGGAGTAGTCATTCCAACTTGCCAAATATGTATTTCAAGTTGTTTATATATAAATAATTTATTTACACTTTCAACCAGAATGACATTCAGTGGTGTATAGGTATTAGGTAGTGGCTGTATTTAGATTTTGCTGTAGCTAGCGGTAGTAGGCGAGCAGATGGAGCAGATTGGGCGCATGTGGCTTGATAGTGGATCAAGTGGTGGATCACCATTCAGTGGTGTCACCTGGTGCTCATCTCACTACAACTACACTCACTCATTACCATCCATCATACTCACGTAAGATGGGGAACTGTACCATTCTTTTATTCCAGTAATTTACATTAAGGGTTTCATGTAATTCTGAAGCAGTATTTATAATTCATTTTTAAAAAACGAACTTTAAAAATACCGATGCTGATAGGAGTTGTATTAAGTTTAATATTGAATACTTTCGGCCAATATTAAATGTTATGTAATTCTTCCTGTGCGTCTAGCGCTTAGTTATGGATTACAATACTCGTAATTCTCTATTTAATCTTGCTAAAGGGGACTCCGCTGTGCTTAAATTTTAAATATCATTGGATTTTTCTGTGAATGTCCGCCTTTAAAAATATGACAAGTTTCAATTATTATTAATATTATTTTTATCATTATTGTTATCAAAAAAAGAAGTGCTAAACCACAAGGGTTAAAGATTTCCAAAAAATTGCTAGACGCCTGAGTGAGGGTGGTAAGGCAGCCATGTTGGTGGAGACAGGAAGGGTGTTCTCTCAGGACCAGCTGGCCCCGGACCAGCTCCTCCAGGGACTGTGGGGCGACACTAGAACCACCTGCCGGGGACTCATCGTTGACCTCTCAGTAACCAGTGTCAACAATACTCAATATATTTTCAGGTAACTCACAACAAATAGAATGAAGCCAACACTGGTTCCAATATTATCTATCAGTTTGTCGATAATTAGGGAATTCCCAAATTAAACTTAATAACCACGTAACTGGATATACCTAGACGTAGACCGCCTCCAATAAACAAAAAGTTTTATGTTAGAAAAGGTCATTAAAAGTTCAACAGCTCATTTATAAAGATTATACAGTTTGTAAATGATTATGTATGTGTTGTAAAACTCAATACTAATAAATAACATCTTTCCTTTAAACAAATTATGAAAAGATTGCATTCAAAAAGTTTGTGAAGAAAATATTAGAAGCTTCCTGATTAATTACAAGACTTATACAGAGGTAAAAAGCATAGAGATTAGTGTGAAAAGGCTTCAGTGGAACAACTGCTAATAAATAAGTCCCCCCAGTAAATTCACAGTCTGTTTATATGATATACATTGTTCCTAATGTACCGTGTTTAATATAAGTCAAACGGGAAAATAACTAGTGGTTAGCGACAGGCAGCATTAGCAGAAGATAATTTCATATTGTAGGTTAGATTAGCTTAGGTAAGATTCGTCAGGAAACAGGACAAGTGTTTCCTGAAGCTTGTCTTAGTCAGATGATGACCCACCTTTGGAGCTTTGGTCATTTGACCGAGGCCTTTAAAATTTATTGTCATTTATAACCATTATTATTGGCCCTTTCATATTGTAGTTTGAGTCAGAGAATCCATCCAAGCATCTACCTAAATTTAGGAATGTAGCTCGGAAATATATAGCCAGATACAAAAGCGGTCTGGTGCAACAGTGCAGACCTCCACTATTCATCAGTTTTTACCTTTTCTTTAGAGTATTCTTGCTTTGGTGTATGTAATAAGTTTTAATATCATATCGCATATAAAACGGTTTCTCATATTTCTACAGGCTAGTAGAAGAGTCAGAGATGTGGAAGCTGTCAAAGACGATAGTGGTGGTTGTTGGAGGAAGGGCGGGGGTGAAGGATGCGCTTCTCCACCACAGTTTGCGCAACACTCCCCACGCCTTGTACCTGGCTCTCCACGACAACACCCTACACGACCTCACCCACCACGACTCACTACATCTTGGCTCACGCATAGAGAAAGCCTTACCAATGGAAGGTAAATCGTATATTTATATTTTACTGTCTCTTATTTATGGTCTTAATTTATATCAATATCGAATCAATAGGCCTACGTAAACTTTATCACAGCCTTCGCACGTAGTCTTCATTGATTCTGCTTTGTTTTTTGACTAGGTATTTAATGGTTTTATATAAAGTATTATTGATTCTGACAACATTAACTTTAGTCAAAGCATTGGAAAGGTTGTTGCTGGTTTGGCTCACAGGAAATGTAATGTGTTTACTGGCTATATATACATAATATATATATACATAATATATATATACATAATCATTTGTTCCAGAGTACACATAATCATGGTTCCTAGAGTACACATGTTCATGGATTCTAGAGTACGCATAATCATTGGTCCTCTGGGAATTTTGTGGGGAAAAACGAGAAAAGTAATATGTAGAGTATTTGTAGAATATACATATAACGAGAAACGTAATATACTTGTGTGCGCAGCTTCCGGGTGCGCTAGTGTGTGGGTGTACCGACGGTGTTTGTACTGCAACAAGGGAGACGCTGACGTTCAACTTGTTCTTCAGAATACCGCCCTATCATTCTTCAAGCTTCATGGCAATCTCTTCCCTGGTGAGGGTCTGGTATACAATTTGATGACTGATTATTTCATATAACTACATATATAATATATATATATATATATATATATATATATATATATATATATATATATATATATATATATATATATATATATATCAATGACATTATAAAGAGAAACCTCGCCACAGCCTGTTGCCCAGCTCAACGGGAACCTCAAGTGCAAAGGTCTGACGGAAGTCAAAAGCGTCCTGATGGAGCCACTATGCTACCCTGGAGGGATGGAAAGCAGATTACCTGGGACTACACCTGTGCCGCCACATTGGCAGACACCTACGTACCATACTCCGTTGCTGAAGGGGGGAGCTACTAGCCACAGGGAGACCCAGAAGATCCGCAAATATGAAGGCCTTCCCCCTTGCTATAACTTCATCCCAATAGGGTCGGAGACCCTTGGAGCTTGGGGCAAGTATGCTCTAAAGTTCCTCAAAGAGCTGGGTGAAAAGCTCATCATAGAAACCAAGGACCACAGGGCGACCAGCTTCCTCTTTCAGAGACTCAGTGTTACGATTCTAGAGAGGAAATGCCTGCAGCATTCTGGGCACGCGGCCCACCGCCAGGGAGCTGGACGAAGTATTCGAGATGTAACTCTGAGTTGAAAAGGTCACACAGAATAATAGCAATCCATGTCTAGTATCTAACGAGAAACTTATTTTCTCAAACCACATGACCTGTTATAAACGATTAGAAAAAGCTTAGGGCTGGCTTTTTATATCTTATAATTTCACACTTGACATCTCAGAAACACTCTTACCCCATATGGGGAGAAGGGGGATGATGGTATGTTGGGGTTGGCACCGACCACTAACCGCAGTCTAAGGGTAAACGTGGACGGTGACACCTACGCTACTCTGAGACCTCTCTCCCTGCTTTGGTTGCTCCTTGTAACATTGCACAGCTGCTGATGACGCACTGAGAAGTGTGAAAGTACTTGAACTAAAGATTTCCACCCCCCCCCCGTGGCTTGTCCTGCATATATATATATATATATTATATAATATATATATATATATATAATATATATATATATATATATATATATATATATATATAGTATATATATATATATACATATTAATCTTATATGTATTTCATTTACATATTGCCCAAGACGAGTTCAAGAACTTCATGAGTCATAAGTACCTGGTGGTAGCCCTGCGCTACTTCCCTTACATGGACTACCAGAGACACAACAACCAGCCAGGCACCACAGTCACGCCCACCGACTCCCTCGACTTCAGAATACTGTCCACCCTTACCAGCCTTCTTAACTTCACGTATGAGTATTTATTTAATAAATGAAATTAATACTAATGAAAAAAAATCATAGTTGCAGTTTTTCAATTATTCATTAGTAATTATACAAGCAAATACATAATTTATAAATTGATTGTTGTAAATCATACATGTGTAAATACCCATTAGTAGAAGTTGGGCACAGGATACCAACAGTACGTCTCTCAGGGTATATATGCTGAGAGTTTATTTTAATATCTACTTTAGGTATTAAGGTATTTTTGACTAGTGGTGAATAGATGACTTACAACCTTACTGACCTCATTAACAAACCAACGGTAGGGTTTCGAACCCACGACCAAGCTTTATAATTTAAAAAGTTAAGATTCAGCGAACTGTAGTAAGTGGTAAGATATTGCTCGTTTATATAATATATATATATATATATATATATATATATATATATATATATATATATATATATATATATATATATATATATATATATTATATATATATATATATATATATATATATATATCGTATATATAATATATCGGGAATGGTTGGTTAAGAATAGCATTGTCAAAGAAAATTGAATTATGGGGAAAATAAATATTAATATTTAGTTGGGCACTTGTTATACACTGAAACTCAAACTACACAAACTGATAAAACAAAAGGTGGAAAATTTGCAGGTACGAGATGCATGAACAGCGTGAGTTCCAATGGGGCGTACCGACCAATGGCAAGTTTAATGGCATGATAGGCGAGCTACAGCGTGAAGAATCTGACTTTTGCATGATCGCGGCGCCCACGCCAGAGCGCCTCCAGGCTATCGACTATACTAAGGGATACACTCCTGATGTTATGATCGTGTTATCCCTCAGACCAACATTGCTCCCAGAGAACCTTTCGTTGATACGACCCTTTACAGGTAGGGCTTATATATGCTATTGCATTTTACTGTCTGTGTATTAAATAATACTACAAGCAAAGAATGTAAGTATAATGCTGCTCGCTGAGGCTAGTACACCAAACGGGGAGTAGAATGAAATTAGCTCAGAGGCACCCACACCACTGTATGTCCTTCGATCACGGTAACACAACTAGCTCTGCTGGGTGCTTAGTTCTTGTAGGATTTGGTGGTCCTGTGGGTTAGAGCGTCATGTGGTTTTCGCTCACCATGTGGCGGGCCAGAACAACATGAGTTCAAATCCTTGCTAGTCGCAGTGTTATATATATATATATTTATATATATATATATATATATATAATATATATTATAATATATAATATATATATATATATATATATATATATATATTTATTTTTTTTTTTTTTTTTTTTTTTTTTTTTTTTTTTTTTTTATTTTTTTTTTTTTATTATCACACTGGCCGATTCCCACCAAGGCAGGGTGGCCCGAAAAGAAAAACTTTCACCATCATTCGCTCCATCACTGTCTTGCCAGAAGGGTGCTTTACACTACAGTTTTTAAACTGCAACATTAACACCCCTCCTTCTGAGTTGCAGGCACGTACTTCCCATCTCAGGACTCAAGTCCGGCCTGCCGGTTTCCCTGAATCCCTTCATAAATGTTACTTTGCTCACACTCCAACAGCACGTCAAGTATTAAAAACCATTTGTCTCCATTCACTCCTATCAAACACGCTCACGCATGCCTGCTGGAAGTCCAAGCCCCTCGCACACAAAACCTCCTTTACCCCCTCCCTCCAACCCTTCCTAGGCCGACCCCTACCCCCGCCTTCCTTCCACTACAGACTGATACACTCTTGAAGTCATTCTGTTTCGCTCCATCTGTTCTACATGATCCGAACCACCTCAACAACCCTTCCTCAGCCCTCTGGACAACAGTTTTGGTAATCCCGCACCTCCTCCTAACTTCCAAACTACGAATTCTCTGCATTATATTCACTATATTATATGCATTATTTATATATATATATATATATATATATATATATATATTATAATATATATATATATATAATATATAATATATAATGTGAGTAAATTATCCAATTGTCCAAGGCTTTGAAAAACCGACAAGTTGAAGATTGAGACACTTATGCCAGCATATGGGATTTCTTATTCAGGAAAACGTTTCGCCACACAGTGGCTTCATCAGTCCAATACAAAGAGGAAGGCGTAAGGAGAGGAGGAGAATGAGGTAATCAGTCCCTCAACCTGGAGTCGATGTGTTTCAGTCCATCAATTCTTGTAGAATGTCACCTCACTACAGTATATAAGCCACGTCATACGGCCTATGCTGTACTTCTACAAGATTGATGGACTGAAGACATCGACTTCCAGGTTGAGGGACTGATTACCTCATTCTCCTCCTCTCCTTACGCCTTCCTCTTTGTATTGGACTGATGAAGCCACTGTGTGGCGAAACGTTTCCTGAATAAAGATTCCCATATGCTGCTAAGTGTTCTCAATCTTCAACTTGTGGGTTTTTCAAACCATTCATCACAACTGTCAGACACGGCAGCATCATGGGGTCTTGTTACAAAGAATTCTTCAACACTTGTTCAACCTTTGGACTACGAAGACCTACTTCGACTAGTGAGTGGTTACCACTATGACCCCGCCTCTCATCTGCTTCACGTCACCTCACTACAGTATATATAAGCCACGTCTACGGCCCTATGCTGTACATTCTAACAAGATTTATGGACTGAACACATCGACTCCAGGTTGAGGGACTGATTACCTCATCTCCTCCTCTCCTTACGCCTTCCTCTTTGTATGGACTGATGAAGCCACTGTGTGGCGAAACGTTTCCTGAATAAAGATTCCCATATGCTGCATAAGTGTCTCAATCTTCAACTTGTCGGTTTTTCAAACACATTCATCACAACTGTCAGACACGGCAGCATCATGGGGTCTTGTTACAAAGAATTCTTCAACACTTGTTCAACCTTTGGACAAGACCTACTTCGACTAGTGGATGGTACCACTATGACCCCGCTCCATCTGCTTCACGTCACCTCAACTACAGTATATAAGCCACGTCTACGGCCCTATGCTGTACATTCTACAAGATTGATGGACTGAACACATCGACTCCAGGTTGAGGGACTGATTACCTCATTCTCCTCCTCTCCTTACGCCTTCCTCTTTGTATTGGACTGATGAAGCCACTGTGTGGCGAAACGTTTCCTGAATAAAGATTCCCATATGCTGCATAAGTGTCTCAATCTTCAACTTGTCGGTTTTTCAAACCATTCATCACAACTGTCAGACACGGCAGCATCATGGGGTCTTGTTACAAAGAATTCTTCAACACTTGTTCAACCTTTGGACGAAGACCTACTTCGACTAGTGGATGGTACCACTATGACCCCGCCTCCATCTGCTTCACGTCACCTCACTACAGTATATAAGCCACGTCTACGGCCCTATGCTGTACATTCTACAAGATTGATGGACTGAACACATCGACTCCAGGTTGAGGGACTGATTACCTCATTCTCCTCCTCTCCTTACGCCTTCCTCTTTGTATTGGACTGATGAAGCCACTGTGTGGCGAAACGTTTCCTGAATAAAGATTCCCATATGCTGCATAAGTGTCTCAATCTTCAACTTGTCGGTTTTTCAAACCATTCATCACTACCTAGTTGGGTTATTGAGGCTAGGACTTTGGGTAGTTTCAAATTTAGGTTGGATAAGTACATGAGTGGGAGGGGTTGGATTTGAGCGGGACTTGCACATCAGAGCTTATTTCTTGGGTAGCATTGAAAATTGGGTTGGTCAAATGTTTGTTAGTCAAATGTTGTTAGTATGGGCCAACAGGCCTGCTGCAGTGTTCCTCCTTTCTTATGTTCTTATGTATGTACGTGTGTTTTATACTATACGGCCGTATCCTACTTCAGGAGAACTGTGGCTGGTGGTGATGGCGAGCGTGGTGGGTTGGGGCACAAGTCTGTGGCTTCTGCAGAAAGTGTGGCAGTGGGCAGCGGGTGGGCAGGTGGTCAAGTTCACTACTTCTCTCCTATACAGCTGGGGCGCGCTGCTGAACATCCCACCTTCAGATCCCTCGGTCAACGTTTCGGGACAAGTATGTGCCCGTTAAATGATAATAAGGATCTTTACTTTTCCCATAATAATTTTTCTCCTCCTTGATGATGGAAACTGAAAAATTCGTGGATCTTAAGAACATAAGAACAAAGAAACACTGCCGCAGGCCTACTGGCCCATGCGAGGCAGATCCAATTCTCCCACCGGCTTAAGCCAATGCATAGTGTTAGTATGATATCCCAATTTATAGTCACAAATTCATGAACTCATTTAGTGTTCTTGCTGCTACCTAACAGTCATATTTATGTGAACAGATATTGGTGGGATTCTGGCTTTTATTCTGTTTGGTCATCACTACTGGGTACAATTCGTCCTTGATCGCTCACCTGTCGGTCCAGGGAAAGTCAAAGACCATCGAAGGGTTCAGAGACTTGGTAGAGCGAGACAACTGGAAGTGGGGGAGTGAGGGTTGGTTCATGACAGGGGTCCCCTTGGAGTATTTTTCTAAGCATACTGATCCAATGGTCAAGAAGATATATGAAGATATGGAGGTGAGTGAGCATCGGGATACAATGTATTGTATATAGTAGTTTTCTGCTAGAAATAAATAGGCATGATAGGTCCATCAAGGGTAACAATTATTGCAAATTGTTTTACTGAAATGTGAGATTTATTGAGTACTATAAATTAACACACTGCTCAAGTGTGAGCTGCAGGTCTTAAATAATTTTTTCCAAATTCATCAACAATTTGCCTGTCAATCTACATTTTTTTTTTTAAACCAAGTGAACTGTCCCTTTAACAGTAAAGTAAAATGATAGTTTATTTGATATGTCTCACTTGTCACTTTTTCATCACCAAATCTAAAATAGTGTTAATAATATTATCAGCATCATCTAACGAGTATGTTCCAGTTATTGAAGATTGACGAAGCCTTCCGGAAAGTGCTGAAGGGCGGATACTCTTTTATCAGCTTCAAAAACTACGCCAAAGTCATCATCGCTTCCTCTTATACCGACACTTTCGGTAACACTCCTTTATACATCGGCAAGGAGGAAATCCCTATCTTCGTGGTCTCAGGATGGGGCTTCAGGTGAATCTCTTCGTTTTATGTAAGAAATTAAAATAATTTTTCAATGGGTCTGTAATCTGGTGGATGAGAGTAAATGTATCACTGGGTATTCATAGTTTATTCAGTTCTGATTGATCCGGCCTGAAGACAAACAGTTTCTTCATTTCAATTGAGTTTCACAAGATGAAGTGTAGCAGGGAAATAATTGTAGGTAAAATAGCAAGTGAACTTAGAATTGTAGGTAAAATAGCAAGTGAACTTAGAATTGTATGTAAAAATATTTATAAGTTCAAGTTGAATTTATTCAGTTTTTAGTTTGTTAGAAAGCTTTCATGATTTTATTTTCAAAGTTTTTCACCGTTCAGTTTTCAGGCTAAGATCTGTTATGTCATTACACAGGTGCGGTTTTTTTTGTGTGTGTGTGGGTGTGTTTGTGTTTAACCGCAAATGTAATTTTCGGAATCTTTATATCCTTATCTTATCTTGTATGTGATTAGTATGGCTCAATGTTTTTAATCTTTTCACTGTTTGTAATTAATCTTACTATAATATATATATATATATATATATATATATATATATATATATATATATATATATATATATATATATATATATATATATATATATATATATATATATATATATATATATATATATTATATATATATTATATATATAATATATATATATATATATATATATATATATATATATATATATATATATATATATATATAATATATATATATATATATAGTACAAACTCTATTTTATCTACAGTCTTTTTATATGCTCACTTTACTCTTATGTAAGTGCGAGGGTTTGATTACAATTTTTTTTTCACCTGTCATAAACACTCACCAATGAAAAGGTAATTCACATATGGCCGGAAAATAATATGCATAATGGCAAGGATTTTGTATATTTCGATCGCATAGACCCTCTTCAGTGTGTTAATTTTCTCTTCAGGAAGGGTGCACCATTTCATTCAAGATTTAGTCAATTGATTTTCCGGCTTGAAGATACTGGTATTATAAGTTACTGGAATAAGGAGGTGATGGCTAGACGAGTGAGGGAGAACAGAGCGGCAGCTGCTGAGGACTCATTCGCTGTCCTGAGGGAAACTATACAGGTATGATTACTAGAGAATGATTGGAGTGAGAAGCATGAAAGGAGAATGATTGAAGTATGTTTGGAGTACGGAGTATAATTGGAGTATGATTATCCGAGAATTTACATAATACGGTATCGCTAAGCTCAACCTGAAGTCAATATTAACCAAAAAATAATTATTTTTAATTTTTTTTAAACATAATGCAACGTATAAAAATATTTAATTTCTTTTTTGTAAGCTATACACTGAAAGTTAACGTTATTCTCTATTTTATTGTAAAGTAAAAGGACACAAGTGCAGCTAATGTGACATTTTATTGTGGCAACGTTTCGCTCTCCAGGAACTTTGTCAAGCTCTATTTTATTGATTAAAGTATTCTTGAATGCAGGTGAACAGGTTATATGCAGCATTAAAGGATTCTTTATCTGTGTTTTTAATTTCACTGGTGGGCTTTCGTCTGCCATTCTTCGGAAGTGTGTGTGCATTAATAGTGTACATACATCAAAAGTGTACATACCTTACATTAACAGTGTAAGTGCATCAAAAGCATACATGAATCAAATGTTAGAACATCAAAAATATACGAACAATACATCAATAAGTGTACGTACATGAAAAAGTGCACAAACATGAAACACGTACGTACATCAACAGACTAATACCTCGGCCGCATGTTTCCTGCAGGAGGAGAGGAAGGAAGTGGTACTAGGGTTGGGTCACCTGCAGGGCGCCTTCTACCTGCTACTGCTGGGCTCCAGCACGGCCTTCTTCACCCTGCTGGGGGAACACCTCAACCACAGGCTCACTTCACCTAAGTAACATCCAAGAATCACCTCAACCACTAAAGCCTTATTATTATTATTATTATTATTATTATTATTATTATTATTATTATTATTATTATTATTATTATTATTATTATTATTATTATTATTATTATTATATAATTATTATTATTATTGTTGTAATTACTTTTATTAATATTTTTATTTAATTATTATTATTGTTGTTGTGATAAAATGTGCGTGTGTAGGGATCATTCAGCACCTGGAGAACAGGAGTTATTTTGATCCGAGGAAGAGGAGGATAGTCTCAGTTCCTTTGATCTCAGTCACTACAGCTTAATCAAGTTTTTTTTATTCCATAGGAGCACAGAAACCCATGAAGCAAAACTGAACTAGGCAGCGATTTTCTTCTAATGATCTTACAAATAAGTGTGTTTGCTAGAGTTTGTCACATTCCATTACTTCTTTTTAACTATTCTTACTCACGAAAATGATCGTAGTTTGAGACAGAAATAAACAATGCTCATATTCTTTGTTTTGTTTTTGTCCCCATGAAGAATCAATAGAAGCAGAAAAGATCAGTATATTTGCTTTCGTGAATCATTCGTAATAACTACGATAGTACGTAGTGCTCTGTGATTTTTATCGTACTCCATGCAATTATTAATGGTTCAGTGACGTAAAACATAAATATTATTAAAAAAAAAAAAGCTTTCCTGTAAGTAGTTTATCTAAGAAATGAATTTTATTGTGGGATATTGTTTTGCAACTCGGGTTTTTATAGCACTTGGTTTTATAACATTTGTAGCTGACTACCTTTGGTCTGTTATTACTGTATATCTAAGGATATATATATATATATATATATATATATATATATATATATATATATATATAATATATATATATATATATATATATATATAGTTTAGTTTAATTTTCATGCCAGTAATCAAGTGAGGAGTTTGCGCATCACTGTGTTTCTCCCGCTTATAAATCTGCGAGGCAGACTCTTGAGTGTCAATAGTCTGTTGTGGCTGTCACGAGAAAGATACTGGACATTTCTCTCAGCACGCAAGGTGAGCTAGTTTGTTGTAAGTTTAAGGTTTCTGAATAAACATGATGATGATATAAATATATATATATATATATATATATATATATATATATATATATATATATATATATATATATATATATATATATATATATATATATATATATATATATATATATATATATATATATATAATATATATATATATATATATATATATATATATTTTATATATATTATATTAATATATATATATAATATATATATATAATATATGTCGTGCCGAATAGGCAGAACTTGCGATCTTGGCTTAATTACATAGCAACGTTCATCTTGCCATATAGGACAAGTGAAAATTTGTGTATGCAATAATTTCGCCAAAATCATTCTGAACCTAACGAAAAAATATGTTTCACTGTGTTTGTTTTGTATTAAATTACTGTAAACAAATCTAAAATATATTTAGTTGCGTTAGGCTAAAATAAATTGCGCTTGTTATAATAAGGTTAGGTAAGTTTTCTAAGTTCCTTTTGGTGCAAAATTATAAACTTTTACATCAACATTAATGAAAAAAATATATCTTTAAACGTATAAGAGAAAATTTTAGAAAGGACGTAATTTTAAATGAGTTCTTGCTAATTGACCAGTTTTACATGTTCGGCACGACATATATATATATATATATATATATATATATATATAATATATATATATATATATATATATATATATATATATTTGACGTTATATTGAAGTGTGAACAAGGTAACATATATTAATGAATCCAAGAAAAGATGTTAGCTGAATTTCAGTTCTGAAGGTCGGAAGTTCTGAAAGGCGTCTCCTCTCTGAAGGTTCGATGGAAAGATTATCCTGAGAGTTATCTGAGGTGTGATCTTTGCACTTCTTGCAAGACTGTTTTTGAATGAGTGACAGTGAATGTGTTTCTTTTATTTTGAAAAATTGCTTAAAATTAATTATATTTACTCTATGATAAACCAGAAAAATTTAATTGTCTCTTGAAAATTTTCCGAATGAATTTGCCCAACGAGGATTAATGAGATTACTATACGTCTTAACCTAAGATATCACTATGTAGTATGATAATTGTGAATTTGTATTTATATATTCACGATGCGACACGATAACGGAATCCACAACTGCATATCATAGTCACGAACTCTATTGTAGAGCATTTTTATAGTGAAAAACGTTTAGGACAATCTTAATCAAAACTGCAGGCGAAGGGTATTAAGGAGAGAGGAGATTGCCAGTCGTCCACAAAGACCTCGGGACCAAGAAACACCGCAAGTAGACTCTCTCGCTTCATTCTCTGTTTGTCCTCGCCTTTTTATGTAAATATGTGTGACACCCATGTTCATTTACCAGTTTCAAAAGTCGAAACTGAAAATTAATACTCTTGTAGTTCAGCAGTAACCCTCTCGGCTCACTATCGAAGGACTCTGAAGACTCATGAAGACTTGGAGCATGCTTCCTGTAACTGATATCAGTTAATTGCTAACCTTGCTCAGTATTTGAAGCGAATAAGCTATTAATATAATTAATTAAAGGAAAATCCTTATATAAGAAATAAAAATGAAGCACGTTAAAAATAATTGAATAATTATAATAACATTTATTTTACGAGACTATGATTTATGTATAAATAAAATTTAGTGCAATATCTTACACATTATAATTCTATTTAACAGCCACGTTAATGAAGAGAAGACTCCCAAACCATCACTTGGCTGCCTCGTACCGTGCCAAAATAGTGTGGATGTGGCTAAGGGGAGTACCAGTGAAAGAAATCTCTCTGGAGGTCGGGGTCAGCCTCGCTACAGTATACAGGTGGATTAGAAGGTGGCATAGGGAAGACACGGCGGGGAGACTGTACTACCATGGTGGATTTCTTTCCACTCTCTGGGAAGGCGACACAGTCTATGGTACAGCCTTTCATGCATATCCCCAGAACACCCATGTTTGTGGGTTAAACTCCCTTAACATTTACCATAATCCAACATCAGTCAATTACTCCCAGTGAGGAAGCTAGTGTTGTACGGAGTTGAAATGGGTACTGGTTTAAACATGCAAAAACCTCTGATGGAACCTCTCCATAAAAACAACTTGAATGGCAAATGTTTACGCTGGAAGTTAAATAAACAAATTTTATGTTAAAAATATTTACTTTTAATAATAATTCCAAGAGGGGGAACAAAATGTATATCAGTAATATTACTTTACGAGGAATACACTAATATATGTTCCGAGTAAGATTTTATCCTATCGCATTCATGATGGCAGCTGAGATGGTAACAGCTACGCTTATTAAAATTTCAGTAGGAATGAGAGCCTCACTGATTACAGTGTGTTTGTTCATTAATGATCTGTGAGGTGAAGCCCCTCAAGGAAGGCTCCTTGTCGCGGGTGAGGAGTTCTTGATCTAGGGAATTGGATCTGTGCTCCAGTTCCCTGAATAGAGCCTGAATACTTTCCACCCCCCCTCACATGCGCTGTATAAGCCTACGTGTTTAGCGCTCCTTCATAATTATAATATAATCTGTGAGCTGAATGAGCAGCACGCATCGACTAAGTCCAAAATAGTAGATTCTTGATCGACATTTTCTTGATATCTGATGTTTTCTTTGCTTCATAAAAAGCGATTCATTACTTATAGATGAATTCTTAAGGAGTCAGACACACACAAAAAAACATACAAACATACAGACTATTTATTCACACAATACAAAAATTATACAATAACATTCATTCACACTAAAACCTGAACAGGGACACTTATACACACAAACTGGAACACATCGGATCTACTGAACATATTTATTTGGCAGCGTCAAAGCTAAATAAAAAACTATTGTATTGACAATAAAGTGCTCACTAAAAGTCTTTCACTTCCTGACAATCTAACTACAATTTTGCTGTGTTGACGGCGGCCAGGGCAGACCTGTGTGTGACGCTCCCTGCCAGTTCCACTTGGATGGTTGGTGGTGTGACCTTATGGCGTCAGGTCTGCGCAGACGTGTGAATTAGTAAGTTTATTCAGGAATATACAAATACAGTTACATAGATTATCATACATAGCAGCATATGTGTAGAGAACCTAGGATAACCCAAAAAAGTCGGAAGTGACTTATTTCCATTGGGGTCCTTGGGATTGAGCTGCTCCGTGGGGCCGTCACCCCAAAGGTGTCGCAAGTGTTATTGCTGAAAATCAGCAAAGACACGTACGGGATTACAGATAAGTTGCACGTTGTTGCACTGAATGGAGCAGTTCGACTATTAGAGAAGTTGCTGTCGACACAAGTGTACGAGGCGATTGTGGAGCAGTTCAAGACGTAGTAATGAAAGTTACTGACGTTGTTCGGGTCTCATAGACGCGTCTAAACGCTACACCTGGCTTAAGTTGCGGAATGTGCCGTTTGAGGTGGTCGAAACTGATCTCCGACAGGTGTTCAGCAAGTATGGCGTTGTGCATGTGGCGCAACAGGGCAAGTGGGTTGGTGTGTATGCAGGTTTGTCGGAAGGAACGTTCTCCCTCAAGATGTCGTTGCAACACCTGTGTCTTCCTATGTGTTCCTATCTGACTTTCGTACACAGATCATGGTAACATATACAGGACAGCGCCACACATGCAGGATTTATGGGCAGTAAGATTGTGGCGGCAGAATTTGGCCGACGAGAGTATCCCCAGGGTATGTACAGAACAGTCATACCGGAGAGGGAGTGTAGTACAAGAAGCGAAACCGCAGGACGGCCGTGGAAAAGGTAGGTTGTGGAGTGATGAGACGACTGTCTTGAATGATAAGCTGAATGGAGGTCTTCCGACTGAGAAGGCGGAGGAACTTTTGGACATGAGGCATGTTCGGGAGAGTGTGAGGCCGGAGGCTGAGGGAGCTAGCCTTGATGAGGTATTGGAAAAGGCTTTACTGGGTATGTTTTCCCCAGGGAGGGGGAATTGCCGTAGACATCCGTGGAGGGATTTCAAATAGTCATGTGTGGCGGATGTGACTGAACTGGAGGCAACCTTTGGGCACGTCGAGGGAGTTAGGCCCAAGGGAGGCGTCCATTTAGTGGAAGTGGAGGTACATAGTGAGGCAGAGATGGAGATGGCGTGTAGGACGTGGGCACAAGGAAGAGGTCTGCGACGGCCTCGGATTCGGATGATGTCCTGACGTCTGCTCAAAGGCAGAGAAAAAACGCTTGGGTGGAGGTGGTCAAGAGTGCAGAGAGTGGAGGGCATAATAAGCAGGAACGGGGCTTGGGGTGAAGAGTAAAGTGAGCCATACCAGTAAGGGTGCAGACGCGAAAGGTAGTGTCGGGCAGTGTGGAAGAATATCTTAATTGCCGGCCTTCGGTGTTTCACGATCAGTGTGAATCGTAAATCAATGTGAATCAATGTGGTCTGGGAGGTTTGTGACTGTATCGTATGGATGTTGAATTTCTGCAGGAGAGCAACATTGAGGGGTCGGGATTTCGTGGTACCTAGTTATGTGGTATATGCCATACCCACTGTACGGAGGGGAAGTAAATTTCAAATTTTTTTATTCAATTTCAGTTAAATTTTTACTGTGATGTAAGCAGCATTTGATGCGTACACACTGTAATGACATTTTGTCTTAAAAGATAGAAAAAATAAATGTTGCCTTTATCCTATAGGGCATAAAACTCTCCCTTTACAAAATTGGTAAAACATACAATTGGTAAAACATACAATTGGTAAAACATACAATTGGTAAAACATACAATTGGTAAAACATACAATTTTGTCGTTGACATCAAATTAAAGATAAAGGGCTAAATAATCTTTATTTCAAGTCCTTTGAGCGATATGTCAATAGATTGCATAATAAAAAAATTAAAATTTTTTTAAGGACTTTTTGGGAGAAAAAAAAATCAGTAAAAACAAAACAGTAAAAAACATCGCAAATCAACCCTGAAACTGAATAGAACCATCATTCCTCAATAACGTGTGCAAAAAATCATGACACTCTTGTAAATACTTTTCGCAAAAACTGAAAAATAATGTCAGTAACTTATTCCTGAGTTACACATATATGTTTTCTGTAAAACTCTACGGTTATGTCACGCCACATTTCACTATGTTTTACACTTCCATGTTGATAGCCTACGCGCGACTGAGGTGCAATCACTCTGTTCACTTGAATACAGTCCTCAGAAGTTGCCACAGAGTATTTAGAAGGAAACAATCATAAAAATCGTAATTTTTGAAGCATAAAAAAAATTAATTACTCTTGATGACAGCAAGAACCAAAAAAAAATTATATTTTTGGAAAAAACATACTTAAAAATAATAGAAACAAGCTGATTGCATCAACATATTGCCAATATTATGCACTATTTTTTCGGTAAGAAAACCTCTTTTCATAATATTTCAATTTTTCTTTTTTTTTCTCTCATGAAACCTTCCTACTCCTTAAGGAATAGAAAGGTGTTGGAAAATGGGGTCTGTAGATTCTGTGGGAATGAGGAGACGGCTTTTCATGTTGTGTATTTTTTTGCGAGCGCTTGGAGGGGCTAAGGGAATGGTTCGCTTGTGTTCTAACTTTGGTGGTGGTGGGGGAGAAGGATGTTCGTTTTGAGGGCGCTCAGTTTGGACGTGTGTGGGGTGTTGGAGACAGAGGCAAGGGCGGCGGCGTACGTGGTTGTGGATTGTTTTTATCATGTGGGGATATAGGGGTAGAGATGATTTGGGAATGAGGCGTCGTATATTAGCAGCGAAGATGTATCGAACCAAGTGTAGAAATATGGCTGTGTATGGGAGTCAATGGGGGTCAAGTTTTCCAGGTGGTCAGAGCCGTCGCTTGAGTTGGTGTCACCCGGGGCGGAATCTCTGGTGCCACCCCCATGAAATTCAAGGGTGGGGGGATGGGGGAGTAAACTCCAGTTACGTCACTGCTGCATGACTAGTGACAAATGTTTAAGAATGAGAACGTTTAAGGGCCATAAACTGAACAGAATACTTCTCAACTTCATTAATGGTCAAATAAATAATCGTAGTAATATTTAGGAAACATAAACTCAAATACCACTTTGAGTACAGCCAACAGATCCTACATTTATTCATCTTCAACAATGCCAAAACAAAACAAAAAAAAACTTGAAAAATAAAGAAAAAATTGCAATATCAGAGAAACACTAGTTCCGATATGACCTTGAGTACAGGTAACATCTCAGTGAATGTGATCTTACATTTGACCTTGAGTACAGGTAACATCTCAGTGAATGTGATCTTACATTTGACCTTGAGTACAGGTAACATCTCAGTGAATGTGATCTTACATTTGACCTTGAGTACAGGTAACATCTCAGTGAATGTGATCTTACATTTGACCTTGAGTACAGGTAACATCTCAGTGAATGTGATCTTACATTTGACCTTGAGTACAGGTAACATCTCAGAGAATGTGATCTTACATTTGACCTTAATTACAGGTAACATCTCAGTGAATGTGATCTTACATTTGACCTTGAGTACAGGTAACATCTCAGTGAATGTGATCTTACATTTGACCTTGAGTACAGGTAACATCTCAGTGAATGTGATCTTACATTTGACCTTGAGTACAGGTAAACATCTCAGTGAATGTGATCTTACATTTGACCTTGAGTACAGGTAACATCTCAGTGAATGTGATCTTACATTTGACCTTGAGTACAGGTAACATCTCAGTGAATCTGATCTTAAATTTCCTTTGCCTTCAATTATGCAAAATCATGTATCACATCATTAAAATCAATCTATCAAATCATCAAAATTAACGATGGATTCTTCTCTTACGTTGGCGAGGCACTGTTTTGTGCATTAGTGTCACCTTCTTTAGAGGTTCTATGGTGTTACCCCCTAAATGGTGTCACCCGGGTCGCCCTTCCCCTTACGACGCCTCTACAGGTGGTTATGAGGACATCAGCGTAGGGGGTCAATTGTCGCTGTGACCCGGGGGAGCCCGTTCCTGGGGTACAGGATCCTGGGGAATGGGGTGTGGGACGACATTGAAGGTTAGTGCTTTAGTAAGGGTGCAGTGTAATTGTGCTTTAAAAATTATATTTATAGCTTTATTCCCAAAACACTGCGGAGTATTTTATAAATATTAAATGAAAGTTTTTGGGTCAGTTTCAAATAAATCCACTATAGCATTCGTGTTATTATACTCAACTATGCGTTATACAATGAATACTAACATGTGTACATGTATGTATAGGGCGGTACGCGCGGGTTTAGTGAGTGTTAAGTAGTTGAGTGAGAGGACCAGAGTGCAAGGGAACATCTCGCTCCTGTCCTCCTTCGCCATACCTTACTAGTCAATGGTAACAAACGCTCTGGCAAATTGTCCAATTGTCTAGCTGGTTCTTGAATGACCGTATTTTCTTGTCGCTTGCAACATTAACGGGTAGTTTATTCCATTGTTATAATTCTGTTTGCAGTAAAACCTTATCATACTATCTTATTGCATCTTTTTCCTGGTTTTATTTCTTTATTTCAAGTTATGAACTCGTTCAGTATCTCACAGTTCGCGTTTAAGAACATAAGAACATAAGAAAGAAGGAACACTGCAGCAGGCCTACTGGCCCATGCAAAGCAGGTCCATGTGAACATGAAAAGTGTCAAAGCCATTCATTTTCTCAATGATTTGAATAGAATCTCATTTTTTGACTTCTTTTAATAAGAGAAAAAAGCGTTTTGAGACGCTAAACAAGATTTGTTTATGAGCGACGTTACGTATTTGATAGCTCCTCTCTGTACCCTTTCCCGTATATCTTTTTTATTCAGACTGTAGACCAAAATTAGACGGCACATTCAGGACGCGGTTTAATAAGTGTATCAGTCAGTATGTTGTCTGGTGCTTTGTGTTTGAAGTTTCTAGCTGAGAAAGCTTTCTAGCTGAGAAAGCCAACATTCTGCTAGCTTCGTTGCTCGCAGAGAGACATTTCTTGGTATGTTTGAGGACGTTGCCTATACTCCATCATCCTTTTTGTCTTGTTTCCGTTAATTTGTTGCCAAAATTTTTAGTTTATCAAACAAATACAAACGCAGAACAAATTCATATGATACTGATGAAATCAGTGTAGTTGTTTCTGAATTTTGTTTAATTTTATGTTCGTGATAAAACTAGGTGCTCTTTACTTGCAGTGAAAAGGTTTAATTTATGGCACAACCAAGAGCTCTCACCGGGGTGTTAGCAGTGTTGATGCGCACAGTGCTACACACCTGTCAAGGAGCTGGGGGTACACTGCGCCTTCCTCCAGGTTAGTTGACAGCATATAGTATATACTGAAGATTCCCAATTTCATTTTACAATTTTTTTCTTAATGAAGTTATTTAGCTGAGTTACTGCCAAAAATATTTCTTCAGGTTAATGCAGCAGGAAAAAAAAGTCATGAAAACTTCCAGCAGCAGAAACCCTTCCAACTCTATTATATGTATTGTAACAATTATTTTATTTTCAATGGATCCAGGAGAACATATGGGACTTTTGAGTCCTTACTGGTCGGCTGGACTTGTACTTGAAGCTGCGTTTCAACCACACTGCTCCGCTATCGTAATCCATGACGCCAACAACTTACCATCTACCGATTTCATAGTAAATATAGAAAATATTAATATTTTAATTTACTTTCATCGATAATATTACGAGAGAATTTTTGGAATATTGACAATAGAAATTTTTTTCCACCATTGGAATAGTTTAATATAAACTAAATGAATACCATGAATGACAATTCTAAAAACTTGTTATGCATTAAAACTGAATAACATAATATTAAATAAGATAACTGTTATCATAACCCCTCTCCTGTATAAATTACTAAATTTAAAAAGAGGAGCTTTCGTTTTTCTTTTTGGGCCACCCTGCCTCGGTGGGATACGGCCGGTGTGTTGAAAGAAAAACTGTTATCATTCCAGATTTAGGAAATTTCACTTGATCGATGCCCTCTTCAGTCTCTAAAAATGACGCTTTGTATATACTTAGAAATTTGCATGAGAATACTTAGGTGATAGGTTACTTATCTGGCCCTGTTAGGTAAGATCAGCTGTTAAGGAAATATCTCAAAACAGGATCAGCTGTTATGGGAACATTTCTAAGTAGGATTAGCTGTTTAGGAGTCACCTTTATTTAGAAGTACCTTTTTTAATTTCTCGTATTATACACAATTTTCCTTGCCGTGTCATTTTGTTTTATCCAAATCGGCTGTTGATGATCTAGCCATTACTACTTTTGTAGTCTTTTGATTGTTTTTATACTTGTCGTATACGTCGTAAAATTTTTTAACATTCCCATAATTTATAATTTAGAGCTTCGAGCAGTTGTGGGCTCCCTGGGGTGTGGGAGTATTCAAGGTGGTAGCAGACAGCAGTGACGCTAATATGACGACGCAGACGAAGTTGTCACTTGTGGTTGCCCAAGCTCGGAGGGTACGTCATCCACATTATCATTCATGCTGGACACCATTTACATTACTACTGAGGAGAGTACTTTCCTGTCACGTTACTGCTGAGGCGGATTGATTGCTTACATTATTGCTAAGGAGAACAGTTCAAATAACGTCTACTATGTATAAATAAAGCGTAATGAACACTTATCAATGCTGAATAATAACTCACGTGGAGACAGAAGCACAAGATTAATTGGTCTGTATATTTTGACCCCCTTCTGGGAAGGGGATCAAAATATACAAATCAATTAATCTTTTCTGTTTGTCTTTACTTGGGTTATTATTAAGCACCTACCATATTAATGTTGGCAGCTACGGCAAGTGTCATGGTGCGTGACGGTGGTAGTGGTGAGTGACAACGCAGACTTCCTCAATACCTTCGCTGAGTGTTCCCTCAAGGTCCGCCTCCTGGTGTGGTCGACGAGGCTCCTCGCCGTCACTCGCCTACAGGTGTACCAGCTCCTGAGCAAACACTGGACATTCTCCATGATGAATGCTATGCTAGTGGTTTTGAACGAGACGTTGAGTCTACCCAGGTAACAAACTGCTTTATGTAAAGTAAAAGGACACAAGTGCAACTAATGTGACATTTTATTGTGGCAACGTTTCGCTCTCCAGGAGCTTTGTCAAGCTCCTGGAGGGCGAAACGTTGCCACAATAAAATGTCACATTAGTTGCACCTGTGTCCTTTTAGTTTACATATTGTCGGTAATTCTACCAACATTATTACAAACTGCTTTATAAAATAATTTAACCGCCTAATTTAAAAATATGCATAATGAAATTTTTTTTAGTTTCATTAACAAAGAATTTATTTCCAGAAACCTGTTTTCGAAGTAGGAATCGAAGACATTGAGATCCAGCACTAACTTCGTAATTTTCTGAGTTCTTGAAGAAATTATTATATTGGAATTTTCTTTTGATTATATTCGCTAATTATAATCATTATTTATATTGGCCATATGATCATTGAGGTTGATGTGTTATCCAGATCGTTATCGTATTATAAAGTTATTTCCCATACAGTTATATAATCCAGACATTTATCCATATACGGTTATATATTCGACATTTTTTTTCATATACAGTTATATAATCCAGACATTTTTCCATATAGTTATGTAATCCTGACTAAAGTTTCAGAGTATACGTAAACCTGCCGTACAGTGTGTCCGGTGCCAGAATAGTAGGGACTGCGGTTTGGAAAAAAGACAGTGGTCTACAAAAACTTCACCATTCACTATTTCCCGAAAAGTTTAATAAGTATATAAATACTCAAGATCAATCTCTGTATACTGTAATACATTAATCTATTAATTTTGCTCTGGTTGAATTGTTACATAAAGCAAAAGTGATGTATAGCACAAAACGCTCATCCAAGTTTAACAGTAAATCCTTAAGATTTCTAATGCACTAAATATATTCTTTCAGTTTTTTCGGAGCTACGGTAAATGTGACAGCCCTGCCCTATAGACCATACTGGAGTGAAGCCGAAGAACGGAGTGGTGATAACACTGGTGTCACCAGGTACTCTGGCAGCGACGCCATGATGCTACGTACCATTGCTGACGCTCTAAACTTTACCTTTAATGTGCTACCTGTAAGCACCTGGGATCAGGTTTGTAAATAAGTGGGGCCAGATTTGTATCTATTTGAATATCAAATGTTCTTTATATCGTTTACATAAAATTATTCTCCATTTTCTGTCCTCTCAATTCTCTACCTTTCCTAATAACAATTACCTGCTCATATAAGAGAAGCAAAAATGATATATATATATATATATATATATATATATATATATATATATATATATATATATATATATATATATATATATATATATATATATATATATATATATATATATATATATATATAAATATATTTATAATGTTCTTAAATAATTAAATATTTTACTTTAAAAAATTCTCGTAACCTGTTACCAGGTAACTGGCTTAGTGATGGAAAGGTCCTCCCTCATAGCTTCTATATTTCACATAGTATTGCCGCAGCGACAACTCCTGTACGATTTTACGTATATCTACCTGTTAGATTCCACCTGTTTCTCAGTGGCCACGCCTTCGCTCACTTCAAAGTGGGAAAGTCTCTTCAGTCCTCTGGCAGACGAAGTCTGGGTATCAGTCCTAGTTATCCTGCTATTGGTACCTCCCTGCTTGTTTTTGGTAAGCAACGGTACTGTTGGCGTAGTAATTACTGCTTAGTGTTTCATTGCCCTTCACGTATAGATTTAAATAACTGAATCCTCGTCAATTCTTTTAAAACAATATTTTGGAAATTATATTACTAAGGGATAAAAACTAAAATATACTTAGTGTCTATGTGAATTGTAGCGTTATTGCATAGTCCTAAACTTTTAATGATGATAAGCATTTATTGCTTTTGTTTTAATAGAGATTAGTTACGATTAACTTGAATAGTATACATGTGCTATTATTAAAATGTGGCCATAGTTTTTAAATTATTTTTTTAAATAAACGATGAAACTAGCAGAGTAGCGGTTTTGGGAATAAGTTCGTAAAAGCACAGAATCATCTTCTCGTCTCAGATCTCTCGCTCAGAAAAGGGAGGAATATCAAAGAACAAACTAACCATAGCAGACTCGGCTGAAGTAGTTCTTGTGGCGCTGCTTGGTCAGGGTACCAAGAAGCAACTACCTGAGAGTAGTTCAAGTCGCTTGTTGCTGGTGACTTGGCTGGCGTTTGCCTTCATCGTGAGCAACGTCTACAGAGGCAACCTGACAGCCGCTCTCACTCTGCCCAAGTACCCACCCAGACCAGAGACACTGGAGCAGCTCGTCAAAGTTGTTGACAAGTAATGATAAATAATCTTTAAGTGGTTCATTTTTTACATATTTATATTCACCTGTTTTCGACAAAGTTGACTTTAGTCGTGTGATTTTCAGCATTTATTTGAAACAAAGGTCAAAGATTTCATAATTTATGCTGAATGTACACACACACACACACACACACACACACACACACACACTCTCTCTATATGTAAACATTTCGTATATAAATACATGCATACTCCTATACATAATGGAAAGACACGCTTGTACAATTACTATAAGAGTTATCACTTTCCTTTTCACAATCCTTACATGGAGTATTTTCACAGGGTAACGATGCCTGATTACGGGGAGAAGTTTCATCAGTTCTTCAAACAGTCAGATTCCGTAGTGTATCAGACACTCTCTAACATAATGGAAATCGTCCCTTCCGCAGAGTATGGACTACGCCAAGCAGCAGAACATAAGTGTATATCTTTAAGCTATTAAAGATTTAAAGTTTTGTATAATAATTATTTCTGATATTTTTAAAAATTGCAACTACGTCAAGTACAACTACCGCTGTTTGTACAGCTGATATTAGTAGTATTAATATTACAACGACTACCTCTATTATAATATAATTGTTACTATAGGGTAACAGTCATGTAAAAAATTGTAAATAAGTGTACTATCTTTCAGACAAGCGTATATGGACGGGTACAACTACCTGCAGCAAATGATCGCTGACTACTACACAATGGTGGACGGCACCACTAAGCTTTACATCGGCAGGGAGAACATAATTCCTGGGCCGGGAGCCTGGCCCATTCCTCACGACGCTCCTTACAAACCACAGCTTGACAAATTAATCATGTATATTATCGAGGTTAGATGAATAACAGTGACGATTAATAGTTCTTGAAATAAATGAGATAAAATCATTAAATAATTTAAGTTTCTGCATTAGAATATACGTATCAGTGAACTGATGGCTTTTTGTGGTACTGAAAATCATGAACAGATAGTTATTGTACATAAAATCTTTAAAATTGTTGAAAGATAAGAACTGCTTCATTGCAGGTATTAGAATCAGGACCCTTGGACTGCATGTGTTGAGACATGACCCAATACAGAGTATTTTTCTTGATCGATCGAGGACACTTTATGACAAATATTATTCAGACCTTCCTTCAATATTTCAATATTATTTTCATGAATGTAAAAGAAAAGAATATTTTTACATTTTCCAGGCTGGATTATATGAAAAATGGATTAAGGACATAATTTTGAGAGCTAAGGCAGAAAGCCGCAGGAGACAGCATAAGGAACAAGTGACAGGACTGGTAGTGGCTGCCCAGAGTGAACCTGACACCAGTGGGAACCAGGCTCTTACACTCCTCCACATGCAAGGTCCCTTAATGATAGTCGCCATGGGCCTATCTTCGTCTATAATTGTGTTTATTGCAGAGTTATTGTTAAAATTATGCATGAAAGAAACTCCTTATTAAGAAGAAACTCGCTGTTCCGATTCCTGCATTGATCCGAGAGACGGGGAGGTTACAATAGCATTGTTTTGAAACTCAAAACAGAAATGAAATGCCTCTTGAAAACTTGAGAAATGATCACATACGTTCATATTCAATTTCAATGATGCTAAATTATTGATTTGTGTAAAAACTCACGAGAAATGTTAAAGCAAATTGTGATTTGTAATATGCCAAATTTTAATATTTTGGTCGCGAATTTCAAGTAAATGTTGAACACCTTCATTCGTTAAGTACAAACAATTTATATACAGAAATTACTGACAATAGCTGCGCAGGCCGCTGTCAGCGCCCCGTGAGGTTTACGTATTTGTGAAACAGAATACACAAATAGGTATACTGCAATGCTTTTTTTTCCTGGTATTTTGCACCTTGTTCTAATGACTCGTCTGCATATATAGTTTTTGTCCCTCTATTTTCACCAGACCACCTATCACACCACCAATAAGCCAGTGGTCGCTGATGCCATTGTGCACTATAGTCACCACTTTCACCGTTTTCAGGTGTCCTTGGTCACATAGCCTTTCGGCACCAGTTTTTTCCCCTTTGAAAAATAAAGCCATACTGATTTATAAGGAGTCACTGAGTGTATCATCAAATATTCAAAAAAAAAAAACTTAGGTCAAGTGATTTTTCCCTGAGGAATATAAAAACTTCAATTATTTTTTAACTACCAAGTTGAGAGATTCTGGAATACAAGATTTAATTTCATGATTGTCAGTAACGAGGTTGAGATTCTGCGCGTCGGTGAATCCTCTCGCATATATAACTGCGAGACAGGATCTAGGGTGTCAGTAGTCGTGTGTGGTTGTCACGGGAAGGTTCTTACACATTTTGCTAAGTACCTAAGGTGAGTTAATGTATTGTGTGTTTTTTATTTGTGTGATAATATATATGTTTAGACTTCGGAGAACATGCTAAATATTTAAGAATTTCAGTAAAGAGAAGGATGGAGGCAGTGAAAATGATGCGTCTGAGATTCATGTGTGGTATGAGTCTTGTATGGGTAATAATCAGCGCAGTGATTAGAAAACGGTGATGTGACGATGTTCTGAGACGTTGATGTGGGATGGAAAGTATAACTCAAGAAAGCGTGCCCGTGTCATAGGGGTCTCCGCCATAGGGCTGTAAAGGGTACTACACTTGCCATGAATGCTAACCGTGCCCTTGCCATGGGGCAGTAAACGGTTCATCACATGTACACACTGACACTCATCGGGGGCGGGGGAGGGACTGCCGTGTCACCACATGAAGACCCGGGCCAGGACCTGTCCTGGCAAACCTACATAAACATGTGTGCTGGAGATGGTTTTGGTATTTAGAAAATATGGAAAAAACTACGTTAATGAAGTTGTATACAACCGGGAAAACTGGAAGAAGGGCGTGTTGAGAGGTAGAGAATTTATTATTCTGCAGACATATGAAAACGTCAAAATTAGTAATGAGATATATACTCAAATGCGTCATACAACTCAAGGGAGCATGTTAGCTCGGTGTAATGCCAAGTGTCCGTTGGAGTGTGAGCGAAGTAGCATCAGTGAAGGAATCCAACAAACAGGTTGGCCGAACCCGAGTTACGGAGATGGGAAGTACAGTGCCAGCATACCTAATAATGAGTGGGATATTGCAGTTCAGAGTCATTTGAAATGTGATCGTCACACACTTCTAGCAAGATAGTTATTGAGTTAACGATATTAAATGTCTCCTTTCTTGCACTATAGTTAACAAAATATTAAGATTTATGTATAGAAACTTTCGAAGCCACTTAAGTTATGAATAAATTCAAGACTGGTGTACATTTCAACTTAGATATCATGTTACAACATTATAATTGTGAGTCAACACCTGCAAATGGAAAAGTTACGCTTAGGTTAATGTCGCTAAAATTTTAATAAATATTCTCTTCGTTTCTTTCTATTTTATTTCTCCATGTCTTTTCATGTAAATGTGTGATCGCCTGTGTTTATCTACAAGTTACAAAATCTCGAACTTATAGACCTGCGTTTAATCAAGGAACTGGTGGAGAAATCAGGTACGTTTTCTTACGTCAGCTGGCCTTGTTCACCTAGCAATAAATAGTTACCTGGGTGTCAGTCGTCTGGCATCCTCGAGGGTGGTAGTAAACCTCAGATCTGTGTACTCAGCAGTGTAAATATATAGACGCTTTTACCAGATCATTACACGAATAAAAATCAGAATTTTTGCTCAAAATTATTAAATTGCCTCTTAAATGTCCGTATAATCATACAATAATTGAAAAAATATATAACGAAATTTATATGTTCTGTTATATAAAATCTGAAAAATTCTCTACCAGTCTGACACTATTAATGTTTAACTACAACTTAACCTTACATCGTATTTTTAGCCAATATGTGATGTTACTTAAGCCCCTCTTAATTTTATTAAAAACAAATATTGTGCAAAGTTCGTTAAAAGAAGCAAAAAAAAAAGATTATACATAACCTTTATTTAAGGACGTATTTTAGTATAAACATAATTAAAATTAAGCGAAATTTCTCAAGCACTATAATTATATTTGACAGCGACCTTGATGAAGAGATCATCTCGCGGAAACCATCAGTTGGTGGCAGCTTGCCGCACCAAAATCGTGTGGATGTGGATATGTGGAGTTTCAGCGAGAAAGATCTCTCTGGAAATAGGGGTCAGCCTCGGTACAGTATACAGGTGGATCCGAAGGTGGCAGACGGAAGGGACGGTGGAGAGACGGCCCTACCGTCTTGGAGTTTCTTCCAATCCCTGGCAAGGTGACGCTGGCTGCGCCACAGCCTTCCACGAACAGCCCATGACAATCCCTATCTGCGAATCAAATTCTCTTCACACTTACTATCATCCAGCTACAGCAAACTGTTTTCCCTGGGGAAGCTATTCCTAGATTCATTATACGTGTGTTGCTAAATATAATGAAACTTGACTGTAATACTAAACTGCAAAATACTGTTGATGGATTATCTTCCTTAAAAAAACGCCTTGAAAAAGGCTAAGACGGACCAAAACATTCTCATAATGTTCTTCTCCCAAATGGTGGCTTTGCTTTAATTTCTCTGCTCATTGCTTGGGCCTTTATAAGTAAGAATTAACTAGATGAACATACGTATTAACATTAAAAGGTAATGGAAACTAAAGCCATCATTGAAAAACAAAAATCTTCTCAAAGAATTATATTTTAATTAAATGATAAATCCTTGAGAAGGAAGAAATTTTGGTTCAGTAATGTTTCTTAACTACAAATATATTCTCTAAGTAAGGTTTCGGCCTCATTCAATTATGCTGGACTCGTTGGCAACATAGCATGGTTACTGCATTTCGTCATAAAATTACATGAATAACAGGAGCCTACCTGGTTAGTCTTTTTGTACAATTTTAGGCGAGCAGTAGCAAAAAAACATTGACTTATCTAACAGTGGAAACAGGGACTACATTTTGTTGTTAACGGATTGTTTCTTCAGAGCTTCACAAAAATACACACTTAGTGGCCAGTACTGGATAGGCCTCCCTTTTGCCCCAGATTCTAAATTTTTCGTGGCATGGATTCAACAAGTGCTGGAAATATTCCTTAGAAATTATGGTCCATATTGACGTTATAGCATCATGCACTTACTGCAGATTTGCTAGGCACACATTAATGCTGCGAATCTCCCACTCCTCCACATCCCAAAGATTTACGCGAAATGCTGAACCTACCATTTGTATGTCGCAGCAGAAATCGCAATACGTCATAACAGACGACATTTTTGCAATCTTCAACCGTGCTCTGTGTGCCCTTAGTTTCATGTTGTATGCTGACAGGAGTGGAACCCGAAGTGGTTTTGTGCTGCTGTTGCCTATCCACTTTAAAGTTCGAAGTGTTGTGCGTTCAAAGATGCTCTTCTACATACAATTTCTGTAAACCGTAATTGAGTTAGTCACATTCCTGTCAGTTTGAACCAGTCTGACCATTCTCCTCTGATCTCTCTTTTATCAAGTAGTTTTCACTCGGAACTGTTTCTCACTACATGTTTTGTGTTAGTCACACCATTCTCTGTAAACTGTTGTGCGTTAAAATCCCAAATAAACAATTTCTGAGATATTCAAACCACTCAGTCTGGCACCAACAATCATTCCACGGTCTAAGTCACATAGATCACATTTCTTCCATATTCTGATATTCATCCTGAACAGCAACTAAACCTCTTGACTATTTCTGCATGCTTTTAGTTACTGAGGTGCTGCCACGTCATTTGCTGATTGGATATTTGCATTAATAAGCAGGTGTACATAGGTGCCTAGTAAAGTGGCCTAGTAAAGTGGCCACCACAGCAGGCCAGTAGGCCTGCTGTAGTGCTCCTCCATTCTTACGTTCTGAGTGTATATGCATCAAAGAACATGCACAAAAACATTC